TATATATATATATACAGTTGTATATATTACAGTTATATAATATTATATAATATATTATTAGACTTCCTGAATTACTAATACCATGAAGATCCTTCCTGACAAAAAATGGCTTCATTCTTGCTAGCTTTTTAGGCATGAGAGACATTTGGGCCTACTGATAGGTAGGAATCTATATCTAGTGCTTATGTTGTAATGTACTGAGATTCTTTCCCAAAGAGGGACCTGTTTACAGTAGCTCTGGACTGCATGAGTAACTGAGAGTAGGGTGGCATGAAAGGGGAAAGGAGATCCCCTTCAGAATCCTAGCTCTACAGGTATTTGAAGAAGCCATGGGGATCACCACCATCAACCTTTTCTGCAGCTAGAGAATTCCTGCAAACATGCCTCCAGATGAATGTCTCATCTTCTATGCTAGCCATGACACTTGATTCGCCCTTCCATTACAGCATTTATACACAGAATTATTATTTTATTTCTTTCTCTGCACTGAACTGTGAGCCCCTGGAAGACAGCTCTCCTACCATGCCTGTGCCCGGTGATACTCTTTGACATGGTTTCCAGGGCTGAGCTGTAGCTCTATTGCCTGGAGGCATATCAGTTTTCCATTTTTCGTTCAGAATCCCAGCAGTGCCTGTTTTTTGTGAATAATTAGCTAGTGTGAAAGCCACAGAATCCATAGCCTCTACAAGGTCCAAATGTATTAACTGCCCATGGTTCTGCAATAAATTTGTGTTTTTAAAGCAAATGTAAGAAAAAGGAAGTGATAGGATAGACATTATTATAGTTATTTTAGGATTCTATTTCTTTCCTTCTTTTTTTTTTTTTTTTTTTTTTTTTTTTTGAGACAGGATTTTGCATGTCCCCAAAACTGGAATGCAGTGGCTGGATCATAGCTCACTGCAGCGTCAAACTCCTACCTTTCCTACCTCAGCCTCCCAAATAGCTGGGACTCCAGACCGAGCTACAATCCTACTGTCACGAGTAGAGTGCATTTAATAATCTTTAAGGTCTTTCCAAATGCTAAAATTTCTGATTCTGGAAGATTTGTCCTTATTGTATCAGCATTTAATTCCTTTTTCCAATAAAAGAGTCCAACAGATGTTTACAGTGTACCTGTGGCTTATGAAACCAAAGACAGCAGGAAGTTAGAGGAAAATGTACTTCCTATAAGACAAATAATGTTCTTTAACAAATTCTCATGCATTTAAAGCAACATAATGAGAAAATACCGATTCTACGGAAGCTCATTATGAGAACATTTGCAGAGTTCATACTACGGACTTGATATGCATTAAATTCCTATGAACTTCTCTCCAGTTCTCCTGGAAACTAGCTATCACAGTCCTTGGCTAGACTGTTTGAATAAAGAGCAGGTCAGGTTATGAAAAATGCAGGTTTTCAATGAACTTTACTTCTAATGTATATCGTAGATCACCGATAGATGCTTGTAAGGATATATATGAATTTCATTTACCTCCAGGAAATTCCCAAGAATTCAGAATGTCTACTTTTTGTTGACGATTTTCTCTGGAGTTGCAAACACTGAGAGTGAAATCAGTTTCGAAAACCATGCCTCAAATATTCCCTTCAATTTGCTGTTGTGGCAGTTTTCGTCAAACAACCTGCTTGGAGATAATCTATTTGCAGAACCTAGGTGGGGAAAAACCTGCCACATTATATAATTCACTGAGCAGGTTTTGGCTCTCACTTCACCAACCCATCTTAAATAGTGGCTGTGCCCTGCATCTAGCAATACATATGATGAAGCAATTTAGCACAGAAAGGGAAAGGCCACACAACTTGGCATCCCCGTACACATTTATCTTTGAGAAAACCAAATGGATCCAACTTCTTGCCAGAGTTTAATAGCAAAGCTGTCACATTTTACACAAATGAGTATCCAGTCCGCTAGCGAATGAAAAGAGGGGACAGGGAGGAGGGCACCAGAGGAGGCGGGGCTGCTGACCGGACTGTTTTCAAAGTGGCTCCCGTTTTTAGGGGAGGTGCTGGGGTGCTCCACATGGCTGGAGAGACGAAGTAGTTAAAAATTATTACTAGCGAGGGGGCCGGGTTCTCGAGACGTGGGTATATAAGACGGTGCCTGAGCGCAGAGCGGCTGCTGCAGCTGTGATCCAGGACCAGGGAGCACCGGCTCAGCCTCTCACTTGTCAGAGGCCGGGGAGAAAAGCAAAACATAACGGTGCGGTCCAAGCCGGGGCTTCTGCTTCGCCTCTGGGACATACACGGGACCCCCTAACTTCAGTCCCCCAAACGCGCACCGTCGAAGTCTTGAGCTCCAGCCGGGCACATCCACACGCGGCACAGGCGCGGCAGGCGGCAGGTCCCGGCCAAAGGCGATGCGCGCAGGGGGTCGGGCAGCTGGGCTCCGGCGGCGGGAGTAGGGCCCAGGAGGCAGGGAGGCTGCGGAGCCAGAGTCGCGGGCTGCGCCCCGGCAGAGGCCGCCCTCGCTCCACGCAACACCTGCTGCTGCACCGCGCCGCGATGAGCCGCGTGGTCTCGCTGCTGCTGGGCGCCGCGCTGCTCTGCGGCCACGGAGCCTTCTGCCGCCGGGTGGTCAGCGGTGAGTCAGGGGCCGTCCCCCCGAAGAAGGAGCTGGGAGAGGGGATCACGGGGCGCGGCGGGCAGCCTGTCCTCGGGCGGAGGCTCTCCGGGGCGTTGGAAACCAGTGTGGCTTAAGGGTCCGGGAGGAGGCGGGGAGAAATTGGTTGTGCTGTTCTCCTCCCTCTCTTCTCTAACACACACGCAGGAAAGTTTAAATTTTTGTGAAGTGCTTGCTTAAGTAGCTGCGGAGCGAGCCTCTGCTTCATCACGAGCGGCACAGTCTTTTTTTTTTCAGGAGTGATTTCCACTTTCTTTATGAGAGTTGACCACAGGGCAGGGCTCAGCACCTGCAGAAGGGGTGGGGTAGGGCGGAGGCGGAGGGAACCCAGAGACAGAAGAGCCACCGCAGAAATGCCACCCTCTGTTGCTCTGTTGCTCTAGCTGGACTTTGGTCCCAGCACTATGTGCACTCGGATGCTTTCTGAGACCAGATCAATTCGCTGTGGGTCGCCTCCAGATGCCTGGGCATTCGGTCTTTGTTCTCAGCAGGACTACTGGCAAGGAACTGGAGTGTGATCATTGTGTGTAGATGCCTTTCCTTTGCACATTTCGTTCCAAGTTGGGGACTTCCCAGAAAATGAAGTCAGCTGGAGTTGGGCCGAGGTATACTTGGTAATGACTGCAGGTTCGGCACACAGTAGGTGCACAATTAGTTCTGTTGAGTGAGCGCATGAGAAACGGACCAAAGTTGGCAAGCTTCCCAGGTTTTCTTTGATTTTTCTTTTTTTTTAACTCACTGTCCTCTCGTTGAACAATTTGTATTGCATCTACTCTCCCTTACTTTTTGGGAGGGTCTCTTCAAAAGGATACAGATTCTCAAAGACCTAGGGTGAACGTGCTTAGGGCCTTACATAAAGGCTGATCATAGCTACACTTTATTGAAATCTCTTACTATGCTCATCGAAACACTGCAATAAGTATTTGTTGGATATATGTGTTTTGAGGGTGAAAAGTGTTTTTTTAAACATAAAAAGCACAAATAGTCCTTTTTACTTTTGTACACCTATACAACAGGTGTCACTAGATGTAGAAATAGATGACAGATGACAGTAACTAATTCAGTTGTGAAGACAGACCTTTAGACATTGGCATATTAAGCTTAATTGTCACTGATCTTCCCCTTAGCAATTTGTGATGTTCTACAGCTTCAGAATATAATTCTTACACCTGTGGTTAACAATCACTCTACACTTTTTTTCAGAATTTTCAGAATCTGTAACATTAGATCCTTTTCCTCCCTAAGTTAGCTGCAAAGAAAAAGTTCATTATACAGACTCATCTGATTTTGTGAATTACTTATCTGTCTTTATACTTATCAGAATTATTCATGCAACTGAATGAACAGCAGAGACCATGCTTTGAACATAAGGTGTTTTTTACTCATTTACCTAAATAATATCCTTTAGATATGCTCTTATTCCTAGGCCTCAACATTTTAAAGGGAGGGAAAATAATATCTAAAGTAAAATCAGAGCTTAAAAAATTGTTGAAGAGGTATATTTTGTGTTCTAGGTATATTTTGAGTACATAATTTTTTCCAAACCTTTTGTTAGGTTTTCTTATTAAGCATTTCTAGGCATCTTGTAGGTGACATCTGGAAAATTTCTAATTAACTGAACATGATCTATTTGATTTAGCATAAATGATGACGTTTATTTGATATTAAAATAATTAGTTATGTTTTTCTTATGAATAATTCAATTGTCTTTGGTCATAAAATTCACATTGAAATTTAACCATCTATAAATTGATTTGTGACTTTTATTCTTTGAAGACTAATTTTTTAAAAGGATGTATTTTGACCACAATGGCCAGAGAACAGAGCAGCCTAAAGCCTGACATTTTTGTAGCAATAGTTTCTAACGGATCTATTGTCTACCTGGTCAATGTAAGTTTTGAATTGGTGCATCAATTTTTTTCATGTCACTTGGGACCATTCACCAAATCTTTATTGAAGAGTAAGAGCCTCTTTGGGGGCTGTTATTAGGAACGTACTTACAACGTATGGAATATATTTCTATGTGTTAAATTTCAGTACAACAATTTATAATTTCTATGTAGGATACTCAAATAATCACTGACCCCAGAAAAATAGACACTCACAAAATAATTCTCCACAGAAATCATATGTAATACTTTAAAATATTCAATAAGATACTTTCCAGTACTTTTAAATACATCACCTTTTCTAAAGTTTAGAGCATTTCTTAAAAATAAAGTAGATATATTTTAGCAAGAAATGACATTTCAAACAACTTTGTCATCGTTATCTGACCCTTGAGTTAGCGGCATGTAGTAGTAATAAGAAAGTATTTTTTCTAGGTCAGTGGTCATACTTATTTTGATGTGTGAATATGCAAAACAATATGTGACATGGTGATAGTAATCAAAGCCTATTTATTGAATTTATGATGCTAATACGGAAACTACTTTTAGGAGCTTAGACTTGTACTGATTTCTTACTACACACAGATGTGTAGAGAATATCTATAGGAGCTGCAATCATTTAATTTTGTGAAGTGACTGGTGAGTAATGATGTCTTCTTTAGGACAAAGGTAAAAGGATTTTACTTGTAGGCATAAGGACAAATATGAAGGATTCAAAATTCAGGTCTCTAAGTTGGGAGGATATGTTTGAAGAGCAAGTGATACTTTTAAATATTTGAAGTGTTTTGAAGTAATGTGTTTCTCTTTTTTTTCCTTTTTCTTTGTAGTGTGCATAGCAGTGATCTCCAACCTATTTTTGCTGCAAAATGACATTAGGAGTATTTCATGGTGCTTCCAGATTTCTCCAGGACACTTTAATATAAATTAGTTTAACCTTATTCAAACTGGCACACATTTTATTTAGGAGACTGGGTGATTTAGAGACCTCCCTTCTTATCATGTAGAGTCCATAGAATATTGCAAATTCATGGGTGGTGAACAGTAGCACATACATTACCGTAATATAATATAATAGCAAGGGAGATACAAGAAGAACAGCGGAGCCTATCTCAGCCTATGGAACTATTCTGTGATATCATCAAAAGCATAAAATGATGACAGGGCAGTTTTCAGAGATGCAATTACTTTAAGTATCTCTTGGGCATGAAAGGAACAAATTAATCTTATTACCAGTCATTTAATAAACTAACCATTTATCATAGCCATTATTCTTTGACTGCTGTTTGTCATCATTTTATGGTTTTGTTTTTATAACTTTTTCCTGAAGATGGCAATATCTGTTTCATTACCTTTAGAAAAGATAATGCATCTTTTTATATATACATATATATATATACATATATATATGTATGTATATATACATATATATATTATATATATGTATATATAAAGGGGTCCAAGGCTAAACTTCAGAAGATGCACTCACAAACAGTTTTTACTATTTACAACAACTTTCTGTGTCAGGCATTCATATACAAGTAGATGGATGTGTCCAACTGTAGGATGAAAGTGTTTCTTTCACTGTTTTAATATACTCCTAATGATATAACACAGGATGACAACTTGGCTAAACTTACACTCTTTGTAATGCAGAAAGCATTCAATTTGGACCTAGTTTGTTTCATTTGGAAAATAAAAAGACTAGATAAAAATTTATTAAAGGCATATGTGGTTTGAAAATCTGAGACAGAGGCAACGTTAAGTCTTATTTAAATATTTGTAACAGAAAATCTAATTCTGTTTAGCAGCAAGCTCTCAATACACAAGCCTTGCATATATTAGCCGCCCAGTCATCAATAACAGATTAATGATAATGATTCTGACATAGATAACATGCACAGTGTTTGTATTCATCAATCCCTTTTGTTCATGAAATTTTTCCCCTTTATATTAGGTTTGAGACGTATGGAGACAGCATAGAAATCTGGTAAAACATGGACTGTAGAACCAGATGACGTGGTTTCAAACCCCAGCTTCAGTACTTGTGAGCTGTGTGAACTTGGGCAAATTATTCAACTATTGTCTGCCCTCTTTGCCTCATTTTGAAAACAGATAAGAGTACCTATGTCATAGGCTTGCTAGGAATATTAAAAAGGTTCAAACACAGTATACAGATTGTGCACTGTGCAGAGGTACATGCGAAAAAGATAGAAGAAGGAGCTCAGCTTGGCAAGCCCAGCGCTTGGAACTCAAGCCACCTAGAGGCAAAATCAACTTTTTCTAGTTGACCAGTCTATAAGGGGGACCTTTCTGCCGTCTCTCACCAGGACAGGTCGTCTTCTCCTAATTTATCCCAAAGCATGGATTGTGGTAGGAATGAGGTGCTGCATTCTAAATCATTGCTAAATTTCAGGCCTTTATTATTAGAATCATTATTTCTATAAAACTTATAACTGGTCTCATTATTTAAGTAAGAAGACTGAGGACAGGGGCGATTAAATAATCTCAAGTACCCAAAGTTCAAGTATAGAGTTTGGTTTCAAAGCGAATTCATTTTGATTGGCTACATGAACTCTGAAGTCACATTGATACTTGGTTTACTACTTATTATTCTAATCTCCATAGTAAGTATTATGATTTTTTAAAAAGATAGTCTCATCCTCTTCTCAGAAAGCTTATGGCATTTTCCAGTTGGAGAAGTAGGGCTTGCTGCTGCTGCCACCATCCAGAAAATGACCACAGCCTACATTTATAAATTTAAAATTATAAATGAAATTATAAATAAATGTGTTTATTAATGTGAGAAAATGGATTCCAGCTATAGCGCACTATGCAATTAAGTACCTTATAAAATCTCATTCATAAAAATAAAAGTTTATTATAATAAAACTCTTTGTAAGAAAAATTTTTAAGATGTTGGTGTAACATTGAATGCTGAAAAGAGAACACTTAAAATGAACACCAGGCCTTTCCTTTTTAGTTCAAAAGTGTTAGCACTGGTATCACAGGCCTCACTACACTGTGTACGGCATTGGTATCACAGGCCTTGCTACACCGTGTATGACATTGGTA